GGAGGACTCTGCAACCTCAACAAATAATCAGATAAAACCAAAAGCATTCAAGTTTCTCTGCTCCCACTGCGGCTCAGATTCATAATAATCTGCTCAGAAAACCTTTTTGCAGCCTTTGTAATCTGATTATTCTGAAACGATTAATCTGATTAGTTATTATGAATCAGTTATTGAAATAATTGTCAACAAATTGAGTAGTCAATTAATCATTAACTTGACTCAAAAAAGATCCATTCCTGAAATAACAGAGCAGTAATTAAGCCAAAAAATATAAACATTTTGCACTTAAGATATAAAAATCCTGGTCTGTAATTATGTTCAACCAAAACACAATTTTAGCTCCACCTGGTTCAAATTTTGTAAATCTCTCATTAATCACCTTTTGATATAAAATTATTATTCAGTTAATCACAAAAAACAATCAACAGATCAAAAAGGGCTGAGCTTTTGACATGTTGATGTTAAACATTTATTTATCTGCAGATGCATCCTTTGCTACAAATGATTAAAGAAAAGGAATATTGTTACTGCGTTGTCAGCAATAAAACATTTATTTTTTAATTTAAAAAATATATTTATGTATTTTTAATGTACCTCAAATATTGTATAGAATAGACAAAAACATCTGCAGAATGTGCCAATTATCAAATTAAAATATTAATTGATAAGTAAAATAATTGTTAATTTGTATAAAAGTGATTGTTAATCTTTGTAGATCCAAACATAAATAGTGTTTTTCACATTTAAAGTCAGATTTTGAGGGTTGATTGTTTTCATTTCTGTGGTTTTAGCTCAGCATCAGGAATGAGATGCGAGTTTCTCTCCTGGAGCTGGATGATCCACTGCTGGGTCTGATGAAGGCACCAAAGTCTCCTTTCAAATGAAAGTTATCAAATGTTATTTACTACAAATTAAGATAAACCTGTTCAGTAAATGATAATTTTATTGTTAAAAGTATGAAGAATTGTTTTTTCTGTGAAAATGTTGCTCTAAAATATGAAAAACTGTTCATCTGCATCAACCACCTGTTCAGCTTAAAATGGCCCCTTTGAACACCCTGGATTACAGTTAGAGAGAGATTAACTGAACCGCTGCTGTAACGGTGAAACATTCAACCCTGAACACAGATATGAAAACCATGAGCAATAAAGACAGAATAAATCAGACATTAATCCTGAATAAGTTCAGATTGGTTCAAACTCACAGAGCAGCGTCTCTGTTGGTCGACTGAGAGCCAAAATAATCTGATGGAAACGGTTTGTTATAGAAACAGGAACAGGAAGAGCAGGAGGAGGCAGAGGTGGGATTTCTGTGTTTCTGTTGGTTTATAAAGTGAAAGTAAAATTCATTCTTTGTGGCTTAACGGAGCAGTTCATATCAGGTCAACATGGCTGCATCATTTTAATCAGAAAACGTGTCTCAGTTGGGATGGTTTTAATTTGAAGAAATTAAAAAATCTCATATTTAACAGAAATGGACACCAGAGTCTCTGACTCAAGTTACTAAAATTAAAGACTTTAGACTCAACCTGGACTGAAAGGCTTCAGGTTTAAATAATTATAAATCTCATATTAAGCATCTTTTGCTGTTAATTGATTAATCCAAAATAATCAATAATCAGTCCTGTTCTATATCAAGTCATTTTGAAAGGGTTGATCTTTTCACAAGTTGATCTTAGTGACTTTTTTAGCTGCAGATGCTTCATTTGCTACAAATCATCACGTCCACTAAAGGAATGATGTTACTGCAATTTTAGCAATAAAAATTTAATTTTCTTGTTTTTAAAAATGATTATAAAACATCTTGAGTGGTTAAATGAAAAATCTTTAGAATGTATCAATTTTTTATCCGGTTAATCATCAGAATAAATGATTAGAACAATCGATTATTAAACCATCATTAGTTTCAGCTCTACTTCCTGGTGGAAAGTTTGAATCTCAGTTTAATTATTGAGACTCTAAAACTGAGAATCCTGTCGTCTGGTTCTGATCCACTCAGCCGCCCTTCAAACACCTGGATTATTCCTGCAGCAGATTATCTCCAGATGCTGGAATAATCCAGGTCTTTGATAGGAAATAAACATTTGATCAAAAACCCAGAATCTCAGAATAAACATGAACAAATATCAGAAGTTCTTTAACAAACTGGACCTGAAAAACCAGTAGATAACTGAAGTCCGGATGTTTTATAAAATCATATTTATATCAAGTGAGATGTTTTGTAATGTGCATATGAGAACATTCCAGGCACTCATGAGAAATTTGATATACAAGTTTATGTGTTTGTGCAGCTTATTGAACCGTCTTATTGTCATGTTTTCAAATCCCTCTCACTGCACCAAAATGGCAGTCGGCTCTGTGGAAACATTGGTATGCAAGTCTTTTATAAGATTTTATTTATTTTATGTGTTGTGTATCATGTCTTTGTGTCTGTTGAATAAAGCAATCAATATCACCTTTATTTTGATCTTAAAGTAGAAATAAAATCAGCAACATGAGCTTAATGTCTTAATAGCTTTATTGCTGCTGAAAAACAGTTTTAGGTAAAGGTAATTTTATTTCTGTAGTACATTTTCAGCAACCTGTGACCTGTCCAGGGTGAGGAGATGGGAAGGAGACGCTTGTCTACATAAATCCAGGAGATTTGAGAAGGTCAGAAGGCCACAGGGAGCCAGATTCAGAATAACAGATTTTCTGTAGATCAGGCAGACTTAAAATTTCTGTCTGTCCTAGTATAGGTCTTCCCAGTTAACCAGATCCATAATTTGTAGATTCAGAAGATGTACAAAGAAAGGCTCCAAAAAAGCAACACAAAAATAGAGCAAGCAGGACGAGAATGGGCTGGGAGAGGAAAACGGGTCCGCCTTCACAGAGAGCGAGAAAGAAAATATATACATATATAAAATGGGAATCCAACTCATTCTCTTGAGAAAACCATCCAGAAAAAATAAGTGCGGGAAAACGTCCGCTGGTGCTCCTGTACCCCAGGTTTGGAGCCTTTAGAAAGATGGAGGCTCATCACCAAAAACAGCCCTGAACATGTTATAAACCGCTTCATCTTTGGAGGAGAATGTTTTTTCTGAAACGGTCATGAAGGTGTTGTCCACAGTGTAGGCGTACTGCAGCCTCAGATACTCCTCCTGCATTTCGGCGCCTCTGGGTGATTTTCCCAGGCAGGCCGCCAGGTGGACGGTGGCTTCATAGTCTAACAAAAACAGAGCCAGAGAAATGGCCAACGTGACGACAAAGAAGGGCACTCTGCCGATCGAGGGGGCGAGGTACGGGATGAGATACCGGTTGCCTGCTGGTGCACCATAATCTTTTTTTAGATCAATGACACGTTTAAACGCACCATCTCCTACTTTTGATACAGGACTAACCATGATCTTAGGGACAAGTCCGGCGTTCTTCATAGAGTTCCATCTAGAGGGCAGATGTAATGGTTTATGGGCATTACGAGAGGTCTTACAAGAAGAACATAGGTCTGGCTTGGTGCATCTAAACTGCCGGTGGTCAGGCTGGATGCTTCCTGTAGCGATGCCATAGGCTGCGTTAGCAGACAGGAGGCAGTTCCAGGGAGAATACAGCAGGACGTCTGTGATGGACGGCAGAGGCAGCAGACATCTGGCAGGAAGCATCGAGTCCACAATCGATCCATGAGCCAAGAAGACCAGCTCGATCTTCTTCCTCTTCCGGTCCTTCTTCTTTCTCTTCTCTTCCTCCAGCTTTCTTTTGAAGAAGCGTCTCAGGTTTACCAGATGGAAGAAGACATCAGACTCTGCGTTTTCTCTCAACCACCGTTTAACCTCTGGGTAAGGAGAATTTTTAATTGCGTATTCGATCAGCTCTCTCTTCTCATCTTTGGTCCTGATCTCCTTCTCTATGATGAATTTGATTCTGACCAACTCCTTAAAAGCTTCTCTGCAAAAAGATTGAAAGAAATCTGTTATCTTTGTATACATGTTTCTATTTAAATCCACTTTTTAATACTCTTACATATTTTCTTGCACCAAAACAACTTAGTGGTGAAACATTTTCAAGCAAATAACTTTATAACTTTATATACTGCTGTGTACAAAAAATGTTTACAGTGACATAAATCTGAGGAGCTGACTCTTCAAACAGGAGATTAAAATATGATTTAATCTCAGATTGAAACATATTGTTTTGTCATTTTCATACCTTATTTTCTGCAGTTCTTTCTCCGTCTCCTCGGCGCTGGTCAGGATAGTCCTGGCATTTTTCCTCAGAGTTTTACTGGCTTCTGTCTCGGTGTTGTCCAGGTTTTGGCAATCACTGACCAGCTCAGGAACAGAAAACAAAAGCCCGACCGCTCCTCCTGCAACCTGAACAACACATGTGATGAAACAGTGTTAATCAGTTGTTACCTCTAAGTCAGTGGAGCCCGAAGTCGGTCCTGGATTTTTATGTTTCTATAATTTTCCTCCAGAATTTTGTTTGAACTTTGAATATTTTCCTGACTTGATTCAATTATCTTTAAAACTCTCATTTAGACTCACTAACATAATTTAAAAGAACAAACATTTTAAAGTTGTACAGAAATTCAATGTAAAAATTATTTCAAAGTTGGCTTAACTTAAAAATGAGTTAAAAGGTTAATAAAATGTAAAACTTTATAACTCAACTTGATGCAATAATGTAAAAACTTCAAACATTTCTCTTATAATTGCCAAGTTAAATCAGCTCAGTTTAAGTTGCTTTAATTAAATGTTTTGAACTTGAAGTTTAAAGTTGATTTAACTAAACTGAGTCCAACTAACAAGGAAACTGGACTGAATCAAACGGATTCAGGATGTTTTTTGTTTTTACAGTGTAGTGGGGTGTCAGGCACTCCTGCACAGGAAATGTTGATTAGCAATCTGGAGTTAAATCTGCCTCATTGTGGCTCCACTCTTCCTTCACGACGCATTTAGTTTAGTCAGGTGTGAATAAACGGAGGACAGACTCACATGTTGCCTCGTCTGCTGCTTCAAATGGCCTCATCTCTGTTCACTTCTCAGGAACTTTTCTTATGTCTAATAATCTTTTTTTTTAAATTATCAACATTATTTTGATAATTTAAAAACAACAGACTGCCTGAACTAATGTGATATTTTCCTAACTGGAGAGGCGGCTCCAGAGCATTTTAGCAGCGGGCTAAAAAAAAATAGTCATGTTTATTAATGCAAAAATAAACAAAAAGGATGTAAACAGTGGCATGTATAAAATGTTGAGTAATTATGCACATACATTAGCTCATTAAGTTCCAGAATGTAATATTTCCAATTTCTTTAAATCCAAAATCAATCTAGTCAAGTAGAAATAATAATAATACTCAAGTAAAAGAAACGTACAGTGCAGTAAAACTACTCTTAATAGTAACTTTACTCCCAAAAGGTTATTCAAGTAATTATAACCTGTACTACTCACTTTTAAACATAACCAAATTAGTAACCTATTCTTGACTTGATCTGATGGCATCAGCTATTATTACTTGCATCCAACAGAATCATGCAACTCAGTCGGTTTTGGCGGAAAACTGCAAAGGTTTTTGCCTTTTGCTGGTTTGCTGCCATGATTCTAACACAGACCTGTGCAGCCGCAGCAGCCGCAGCCGCAGCAGCCGCAGCCGCCGCAGCAGCAGCCGCCGCAGCAGCAGCCGCCGCAGGTGTAAAACCAGCGCCAGTATCTTCATTTTCATGCTGCGTTTAGAGGCAGCTTGGAAAAACACCTTAGGATTAACAATGGATGAAATAGTTGTGAAAAAAGTGCAGAGGACAGAGAGAACAGATACAGGAACTGTGGGAGCCCCTACTGTACAAGTCAAGATAGGAATAATAGGAAGTTGGCCACTCTGAGGTAAAAAATAATAAAAAACGGCTTCCAGTCCAGGGGAGCCCAGCTGACTGTGGGTGGGCGATGCCCCCAATGCCCCCAATGCCCCCTAATGCCACCTGGTCTGTTTCTACTGCTGTTAGATTCATACTTACACTTCCAGCTGCTGCTGAAGCTGCTTTTTTCCCCAGAGAAGAAGCCACTTTCTTCCCTCCTTGTTTGGCTGCTGCAACCAGAGCTCTTCTAAGGATCATAAGACATCCTGCAAGAACAATATCATTGGCCTTGATCCTCTTGAACATGCTGATACGCGGTAACCCAAACACCGCTCTGATCATGATGCTGCTGGGGAGCTCCAGCCCTTCCTGTCTGGCCATTGATCTCATGACAAACTCCATAATGTTGCCATCATCGTCATCATCTCCACCACCAGCAGCGCCACCATCGTCGTAGAAGTTGGAGGCTTGTCGTTTCAGCGACTTCATGAGGTCTTTCATTTCCTGTTCCAGACTCTGTAGCTCTTCCAGAACCTTTTGGGCTTCCTCCATGATGTCTTTGGACTTGCTGGCGCTGTAAACATCAGAACCAACACTGGTTAGCGCACCGGTCCCAGAAGCCACTGCTCCCGCGCCTGCCACTACAGCCAGAACAGGCAGCGCTGCTCCGCCGGTCAGAAGCGTCAACACGCCCGCCGCCGTCATGGCAGCTGCTCCCCCCACAGACACCGAGCTGCTGACGACTTTGGTCACGTTGGCCGCCTTCATCGCTTCCTCCAGCTCATCTGCCAGGTTCTTCAACTTCCTGGAACATTTCTTCTGAAGAGCCACCCATTTATCGACCTTACGTATGAGAGCATCAGCATCATCCATGATGTGACCGTAGAGGAAGGAGATCTGCAGCAAGAGCAGGAAATATTATAGGGCTGAGGCGATTAATCGTGATTATTGTCAACTTATTTAGTAATCAATTAATCAATTACTGGAGAAAAAGGCATTTGCTGAAAGAAGAAAGGAGACGGTAGTATTTAAGGCAAAACTGAACAACCTAAACTAGTTGACAATTATTTCGATAATTGATCAGAATAATGATGATTAATTGATTATTGAATTAACTGTCAACTTATTTAGCAATCATTAATTGAAGAAAATTTAAAACAAAAGCATTCACTGAACAGGACTCCAAGTAGTAAGTACACCAAAACCGTATAAAATATAAATTAGTTACAGATTATTTCAAAAATTGATCACGGTTAATCAGATCAATTGTAATTAATCCATTATTGAAATAATCGTCAACGTTTTTAGTAATCAATTAATAATTAACTACAGAAAAAGGCATTTCAGTAGTAAATGAACCAAAAATGCACAAAATATAAATTAGTTGATTTTAATAGTCAATCAGGATTAATCTGGTTAATCGTTTCAGACAAACTGTAGCCCAGCTAATCTCAGCTCAGCTATGAACAATTCATGAATTTAAGATATTTTTCTACTGACAAGATGAGCAGCTCATGATCTGGTTCCTGTTTCGTTATTTTAATAAATGTGTCCAAGTTTAATGTGAGAAAAACACAATTTCCTGTTTATTCAGTCAGTATTCAACAAATCTAACGCTGAATAATGTTAAAAGTTGATTAATTTCTTTTTTTAATTCAACATGAAAAATTTTGCCCTTCGTGTTATGGAAGGCCAGTCGGCCCTCTTGATAGAAGATTTTAAGAAAATGGCTACATATCAATTAATTGTTAGTCAATCGATTAATTGATATGCAGCCAAAAAAATCAGCCATAACAAAAATACTCCAGAACGTGGAACATTTCATGCAGATGAGGGGAGTCATCTGCCGTTCATCAGAACTGCAGACAGGTTCCGGTCAGACGGTCAAATTCCTCTCTGGAGGAATGCAGAACCGAGCCAGTCGAGTCCAATCATACAGGAAAACGTCATCTCTTCCCTTTCCTGTCAGGGCGGGTACCTCCGGCCCGGCAGAACATAAACAGAGTCTCTATGTCCCCCCATCTCTTCTAGGAAACAGAAAGTAAAGGTGTAGATTGGACTTCATGCTGAACTCCTGCAGGACAGATGATTTTAATTCCTTTGGTTTTAATGTTTGTAATGTGAACAGAAAGTTTTGTTTATAAAAATATGATGCTTCAGAATAGAAAGAAAACCCCCTCATGTATAATTATTTATCTCATAAGAAAATTGTTCAATTTTATCTTTGCTTCCCGTTTTATCTCCTTTTAATCAAAGTTTTTATTTCTGAGGATAAATCTGCTGCTTTTCTCTGCAAACAATGAAATTTAAGTTAAATATTTTAGATTAAGACATTTTATCCTTGATTCTTTTCCAACAGGTTTTATCTCAGAACATTTCCCATATTTTAAGAGTTTTGGTTTTTCATTATCTCAATAAAATAAAAATGCATTCCCTATATAATATATGCTAGAATATCAATAGTTACAAAGCAACAAAAAGAGTAGTTTAACTTTTAAAATAGTACTTGTTTTTTTATAAAGGAAAAAAAATACTATGAATAACATAACCGTGAGAAAAAGACATTATTGCTGTTTTTAATTAAATGCAACCTTTTTTTTGTTGTTTGGAATATTTTAATCACAATTTACGGCAGAAAATGTAACATTAAAAATGAACAGGCTGCGCTCAGGCCTGTTTTTCAGCAGGGTGATGAACAGGAGGCCCGACTTCAGTCCTGGAGAGTTTCTGCAACATCTGAATCTAAAGGATGATTTATGATCAGGTCTCTGCAGAGCAAAGTGACTATTAATGAGTTCAGCTGTTGGAGCAGGAATTCAGCTGAACGTAGCATATCAGCTTTTACACACATTCAGAATATGAAGTGGAAATGCAAACAGTCTACTTGTGAATGTCAGTTCATGCTTTTGCTATAATTAGTTTAACGTCCTTCTTTTAGTCTTGTAGATTGGCCGCCATCCAGCAGAGGGCGCCGATTGTCGTTCATAAACGTAGTCATTGATACAGAAACAAAGATGGCGGAGCTAAAATAGAATGGCAAAGAGAAACGGTCCAAATACACCAATGTGACAACTTTATGAGGTTCTGGTTAGAAATATAAACACTTTACAAACTCTTGGGTTTCACTTTAATAAAGCTAGATGAACAGGGTCAACTTCTCATTTTAAAAAATAAGTGCTAAATAGATGGGGATTTAATAATAAAAAAAAAACCCGGCAAAGTTGGAACATGATGGGGGGAAAAACCCATGACGCCAATGAGCAAGGCTGATTTTGGTCCAAAGGTTTAACATTCCTTCATGAGCAGCTGCAGAGTTTGTATGAACGTCTCTCCGTTTGTGGGGAGTTAAATTTCACATTTTATCCTTTTCATCTTTTATTTTTTTAATTAATCAACTTAAGATGTTCTTGTTGTCATATTTAATAAATATAAGTTCAGTAATGTAAGAAAACCACAATTTCATGTTTTTTTCAGTCAGTTTTTAATACCGCTGACGGTATTTACGCTTAACAAGCCGAACTAATAGGCTGGAAACATAACAGACTTTACTCACTGTTTGTTGCTATTCGGTCCTGCTTCTGTTCGAAAACTCTGCACAGAGTTACTGCTCTCCACATTCCGAAAAGTCCAGTTGTTTGTCCCGTCAGAAGCACAGCTGCTTATAATGGGGTCTGCAGTGGGCGGAGCAAAGGAGGGTCTCTTTCTCTCCTTGATCCCAAAGGACAAAGAACAGACGGTGCAAGAAAACATAATGAAATATTTCGTAATTTACAGTTGGTGCAGATTCAGTATTCTCCAGTTAACAATTACTCAATTATTAAATTAGTTGGCAATTATTTTAGTAATCGATGAACCGTGATTAATTTGATTAATTGTTTCACCACTAATTAGAATACAGTTATTTTAGAGGAAGGTCCTAATCCTGTGGTCTGGAGAAAAATGAAACCAGTTCAGCTTTAACTGGTCGTCTCCTGACAGAACCAGTGGACATGATGTGTGTCGTTGTTTCTGTCGGTGAACTCAGGCCCTGCATTTCTCAGGATCAGATTATTTCCAGGAAAACGAAAGTGAAAGTCCCATACTGAGGTCATCTATGTTTAACTGCAGCCTCTAGTTTCTCTGGGTCTTTTTTAGTTTATTTATAGCCTTGAAAACGTCTTAAAAAATGTTAGAATTTTACCTTGGGAAAAATTCAAACATGTTTTACTTCACTGCAAGCTAATGTTGCATATGCTGCAATAATTAAATTACAACTTTGAACGACGCTGAGTCTTTATTGGATTAAAATGAGCAGAAAAGAAAGATGGCACAGATGAAGAGCTGCTGTAGAAAAACTGTTATCTCAATGAGGTGAAAGTTCATGCATTAGGAAAACAAGCACATCACTGGTCTGCTCAACTGGCTCATGTCTCTATTTATATCTCATGTGTTGGGTGGTGCAGGGTCAACCAAAGTTCACATAGAGGAATCGACGCAAAGACAGGAAATGGAGCTCAAATGTTCTCAACATGAACAGGAAACTGTGGCTTTGAAGCATTTTTATTGTTCTGCTGCATCATTTTGCTCAACCATCTCCGTGAACTCAGCTGCGTTTCCATTGACCATAAAATTGTGTACATTGGAATTATGAAAATAAATGTGCCTAATTATAACTTGGCAATTTTACAAAAACCCAAAGTTTTGCAAAATTACTGTATCCGGTTGTGTTTTCATACAACTGGATGTTACTACTGCTGGAAACGACAAAGAAGATGACAAGAAGTGGAACGAGGATGTTTTTTTTTTATAATTTATTGAATAAACAAACTTATTCACGTGATTTTAATTGTGGTTTTTATTTAATGGAAACACCAAAATTGAGAAATAGTATTTTATCAACAGTAGCGGAATATTGGCGTTTTGCTCACATTTGTAATGGAAATGTAGCCAATTATATGAAGATGAAGAGTTAAAGCAGCAGTCGGACGTAAAATATAGAAAACTGAAGCATTTAGTTGTTTGAAAGAATGTAATATCAAAAAAATAAGAAAATATTTAATGTAAAGTCAAATTAGATTTTTCAATTTAAATGTTTTTCCAACTAAATTTAAATGATAATTTATATATTTCTATACACTAAAAAGGTCTAAATGAATTAACCTGAACCCAAATCCAAACATAGTAAAATCTAATTATTACTACTGGTTTTTATGTGTTATTAGATTTAGTGTGTTTACAAATCTCCAGTTATTTGCACATTTTTTGCACAGTTGGTGTAACTTGGGTTAGATCTAATAGAGGTTATTAGGCAACAGAACCGCCCAGAAGTTCTGGTAACATCCAGAAAATACAGAAATTGAGCAATATGTTTTACAAATTCATGTTTTTAATGTTTCATAATGTCGTTTTTATTATGTTTAGTAACTAGGAACACAGCAAAAACAAACAAAAAATCAGTAGTGTTGTATTTTATTTATTTTTGTCACATTTGACCCGTTTACCGGAGCTAAACCAGAACCAGTACCGCTCAGGACGGCTTCAAGTCTTTAAGGATTTTAGATGTAAACAATGTTTTCTCCACACGTTCCTCAATCAGTTCTGGTGTTCCTCAGGGTTCTGGCCTAAGACCCGTTCAGTTCCCTTTTTGTGTTTTTTTGGATAAAATCAAGAAACATTTTTGCACTGCCAAAAATATTACCAAGTATTTTTGATTTAGTTCCTGTTGCAAATATCTTAACATAATTTAAATAAGATGAAACTAACTTACAAGTAACTTTTCAGCTAGATATAGGAGTTTAAGTGCTCGTTCTACCAGCAGATTATTTCACTTATAACAAGACATTTTTGATGTTATAAGTGAAATAATCTGCCAATGGATTTTAACTTTTTTAATAAAATAGGCACTTATATAAAAATAGGCACGTAAAAGTTACTTTTTAGTTGTGTCATATCTCAAGTCCACTACAATATTTGCACTAGAAGCTAGACTCAAAATACTTGGTAAGATTTTGTGTTTTTCCAGAGGATAAATGTTTGTTTTTATGCCGATGTCATCCAACATGATCTACCTATAAAACCTGAGAAATCTAACGGTTACTGAGACTTTAAATTTGTCTCGAAGACACAAAAAAAGAGTATGAGATTCTTTATATGTGGGTTTTTAACGCTACTGAAAACTGAAATCTGTCGTTATGTCTGCAGACATAACGTTATAATGCTTAGAAAATAAAAGTGCTGTAGTGATGGAGGGGAAGAACTCTGTGCTGTTTACACCTCAGGGATGTTCAACTGGACCCGACTGAACATCTCAGGAGAACATGCCAGTCCGGTTCCGTCGATGGTGCAGGCGTACTGCTGCTCCAGGTAGCTTTTATCAAACTTCTGTCCAGTAGATTGGTCTCCCAGACAGGCATGCAGGTGGACGGTGGCTTTGAACCTGGACTGCAGCAGAACCAGAGACAGGGCCAAAGTGACCACAGAGAATGGGACGTTGTCTGATTCTTTTCCTGGGAGGATGAAAGGAATGACGATCCGGTTTCTCCCAACAGGACCGTGTAGTTTGGTGAGAGACTCAAAGTTCTTCCAAACCCCATCGTCTGGTCGTAGAGGACTAACTGAGATGTTTGGGATCATCTGGTCTCCTGCCTGCCTCATTGAGTTCCAGTGGTCCGGTAGTTTAACGGGTCGATGTTTTTCATCAGGAACTGTGCAGCCGAACTTCTTGGTGCAGTAGAAAACTCTGTGCTGAGGCTGCAGCCGTCCTGTGGCGACTGCGTACCCCAAACCGCAGGTGACACAGTTCCAGGGAGCGTAGAGAACCACGTCCCTGATGGAGGCCAGAGGCAGCAGGCAGCTGGCTGGGATCATGAAGTCTCTGATTGATCCATGAGCCATGAAGGTGATGTCCACAGTGTCACTGTGGTCCTTCTTCTCCTCTGCAGCGATGTGTGTTTGCAGGAAGTTAAACATGTCCGCCAGCCTGTTGAAGGTGCTGGACTCAGAGTTTTGTCTCAGCCACGTCAGGACGATTTGGTTGCTACAGTTTTCCACAGCGAGCGTCATCAGTCTGCTGCGTTCATCAGGAATCGTGATGATGTCAGCGTGATGAACTCTTCTGAGGCGTTTCCTCCTGGAGAAACCAGCAAACTGAGCGTCAGCTGTTTGCTTTAACTTGTACATCTTTTCTAACGACACACCAACATGGAGGACAGTCTCAGATAAACCTACTGGTGTCCAAACATGTTGACCCTGGGGGCCAAATGGCCCCCAAACCACACTTTGGACCCCCAGACTGTAGATTAATCAGAAAACCAGTCCTACCTCTGAACTCTTTGTGATCCTCCAACAGCAGCAGCGCTGCGGGTCTGAACAGAAGACGGAGGGAAAGTCCAGATAATCTGGTTGTTTCTGTGAGTCGACCACAAAAGAGCACAAAAATACAAATGGGTTATTATTGACTTTCTTTCATTCTCTATATTGTTTTATATGAATAAATCAAAACTTGTTGCAGAGCAGCAAGAAGAGCAAACATGGAGGATGGTCTGCAGTATGTGACTGCAGACCATCCTCCATGTTTGCTGCAGACTGCAGAAACCCTATAAACGGGTTCCTCTGTTATTTTTTATCATCTGCCATCAAATATACAGCAGCGTATTTGGGCCATTTTATAATTCCCCTTACAATGAGTAAAAGAGGAGAATATATCTGACAAAAAAAATCTAAAATGTTGAGATTAATCTCAGAAATATCCTGCAAATAAAACCAG